AGGCTTGATCCCTGAGTGCAGAGTAAGGTGGAAGTCCAGAGCACTGTCAGATGCGCGCGCCCCCCTCCATCTCCGGGCTGGAGACATAATATACCAGGTGAGTTAGTTGCAGGTGATCTGGGTTCTATCTGCAGCATCCTGTATCCTCGAGCACTGTCAGGAGTCATTCCTGAGCAGCAGTGGGTGCATGCAACCCAGAAACAAACACACAAAACCCAAAAAGCTTTGCACATGACCGACCAGAGTTCAATCCCTGGCATCCCGTATGGTCCCCTGAGCACCACAAGGAATAATTCTTGTGTGCAGTCAGGAATAAAACCTGAGCATTGCTCACTGTGACCCAAAAAGCAAAAAAAAAAAAAAAAAGAAAGAAAAAAGAAATTGAGACATTGATTAACAAAGTTGTTCAGAGTAGAGTTGTTTTAGGCACACAGTAGGCCAGTACTAGTCTCACCACCAATATCTCTTCTCTTCTACCAATGTCCTCAGGTTTCCTCCCATGCCCAAACTGGTCTCTTTGACAGGCATTAACAGATTCATTCTATATTACGTGCTCCAAAAAAACTTAAAGAAATGGAAAATAGAGTTATCAGAGATAAATCAACATAAGCCAGTTTGGCATGATTATTATATGATTCTAACTTTTGTTAATCTAGCAGATTAACAAAACCATATGAAGTATTAACCGCTGGAGCGATAGCACAGCGGGTAGGGTGTTCGCCTTACAAGCGGCCAACATGGCCGACCCGCGTTCGATTCCTCCACCCCTCTCGGAGAGCCCGGCAAGCTACCGAGAGTATTCGATATGCCAGACACAGTAACAACAAAGTCTCCAATGGAGACGTTACTGGGCCCGCTCCAGCAAATCGACGATCAACGGGAGGGCCTTTACCTTTATGAAGTATTAAGTGAATACCATACTCCGTGTTATATGTTGGGAAGTTTCTCCAGTCCTTTGAAGGTGCTCTTTGCTTCTTGCAAACTCGTTTTTTTTTTTTTTTTTTTGCTTTTCCTTTTTGGGTCACACCTGGCAATGCTCAGGAATTTATTTGGGTTACTCCTGGCTCTGCACTCAGGAATTACTCCTGGTGGTGCTCAGGGGACCATATAGGATGCTGGGAATTGAACTTGGGTCGGCCACATGCAAGGCAAACGCCCTACTTGCTGTGCTATCACTTCAGCCTTATGGCAGACTCTTTCTCTCTCCCTCTTTTCCTCCTTCCCTCCCCCGCCCCCTCATTTTCCTTTCACACCGTGTGGTTTGCAATACTTCCTGAAAGAGTACCATGCATATCACTTTTATCTCCTTTCAGCACGCGGCTCTTGTCCAGAGTGATCATTTCCAGCTCCTTGTCAATAGTGGTCCCTTCTCTGTCCTAACTGCACTCTCCTTCCTCTTAGTGGCAAAGCTTCCTACCATGAACCAATCCTCCTGGCCCTGGTTCTTACTGTCTTTGGATATCATTCACATAGTATGGTGGGTTTTTTTTTTAATGTACTATATCACGTAAATGAGTGCAAACATTCTGTGTCCCTCTCCCTCTGAAACTCAGCATGAAACTCTCCATGTCTGTCCATGTATAAGCAAATTTCATGACTTCATTTTTCCTAACAGCTGCCTACTGTCTCATTGTGTAGATGTACCATAGTTTTGTTTACTCAGTCATCTGTTTGGAGTGCTTGGGTTGTTTCAGATTCTGGCTGCAGTGAACCTAGGCATGAGATGGCTCTTCTGCATGAGCTTGTGGGTCCCAGGGTGTGTTCCCGAATCCTTTGGCTTCCCCATTGGTTCCCAGTGTTCTTGCTGTGTTGGTGGTGAGTCTTTGTAGCTAACACCTGGAAGATGTTGAGGGAGTAGGCTGAAGGTTCTCTCTTTCCTCTCTGACTATCCTCCAGAAACCTAAATGTGAGCAGTGTATAATTTGTTGAGTAGATTATTGCTTCAGGTGCTATTTGTGACTCTTAATACGGTACAGGTCTGGCGTGGAGACTGCTGGGACCCGCCCAGTAGGAAGGGGCTCTGCCTCTCATTCTGGAATAGGCCCCTTGATGCCAACTGGTGGCAGCCCTCACCAGGGATGGTGGAGTAGAGGGCGGAATGTCAGGAAAAATCTGTATCTTGAGGAAATAATTATGTAGTTAAATATAGAAACGTATATATTTTGGTAGCAGCCTGGAAGATAGCTTTGCAGCTTAATGGACGTGCCTGGCAATTATCAACTCATGACTTCAGACCCAGTGCTGCTATGTGTGGTGAGGCGATCAGGACAACCCCATTATCTGTGATCTTTAGAAAGAGCCCAGGAAGCTGGCTCAGTAACTCAAGAAACACTCGGGGTGAGCATGAAGCAGTAAACTTAATCCCTGGTCCCTTGCATGCACCAAGGCTATTCTGAGTACACTGAAGGTCTGGCATTGTCAAATACCAGTTACTTTTTTAGTTGCTTAAATTAGTTGAAGTTATCTCTAGGTGGTGGCATAATAGAGGGTAATTACTTCATATGTATGCACCTTAAAGGCTTTTAATAATCTACAGTTTGCACTTATTTTTTTCTTCATTAAAAAAGTTACTACTGGGGGCTGGAGTGATCTAGAATAAAATCAGTAGATCGGGGGTTGGAGTGATAGCACAGCAGGTAGGGCATTTGCCTTGCATGTGGCTGACCCAAGTTTGATTCCCAGCATCCCATATGGTCCCCCGAGCACTGACAGGAGTAATTCCTGAGTGCATGAGCCAGGAGTAACCCCTGTGCATCAACGGTGTGACACCCCCCCCCCCCCCCCGCCAAAAAAGTTACTGCTTAAAAATAGGTAAGATGCTTAGAAAAGTAAAACCAATAATGTCACATGCCATGAATATTAAAATATGTCCATAAAGCTTACTTGGGATTTTCAATGTCTGTATTTTTTTATTAGTATTGTACATTTTTTGTTATTTCCAATTCAGAACAGTTATAGTTTAGGTATTTCATAAGTACATGTGATTAGTGATTACCACATTGCTCAGGAACAAAGCTGTCTTTGTAACTAGAGGGGCAACCATAGAATTCTCTAGTCTTTCATAGTCCTTTACAATGGTCTGGCTCCTTCCAGTTCAGATATTCTTTCTTTAGAAGCTTATTATCTCTAATAAATGAATAGGGATTTAATTGCATGTAACTCATGCTGGTTTGATTGGCAACTCTGCATATGATTTCTTAGCATTGCTGAGTGTGGCCCAAGGAGAAACATTTTATTCAAAAGATTTTTATCTATATGTGTGTTTATATATGTGTACACATGGGGAGGAGAGGATAGGAAAAGGAGAAGAGGAGAGAGAAAGAGAAAGAGAGAGAAGAGGAGGGGAGGGGAGGGGAGGGGGAGAAGGGAAAGGGGAGGAGGAGACCCCGGGAATAAGGTGTTTTCCTTGCCTGTAGCTGACCCTGGTTTGGTCCCTGGCACTGCATATGGTCCTTCACCACCACCATAAGTGATTCCTGTGCTGAGTACTCTTGGGTGTGGGGCCAAACCAAAAGAAAGTCACAAACATTTAAATATTAACTTTGAAAATTTCTACATAAAAATAAGTACACATCTGTAGGATAACATTGGTTTGTCCTTTCTCCCTTGCTGCAGGGACCTTAGGTTTATTGGATTACTCCCATCACAGTGCTCTTGCGGCATTCCCATTCCTCTGTGTTTATCTTTAACCTCTCCTCTGTGCTCTGCTTCCCCTGTCTGAATCACCTGTATCCCCAAATCAGACTGACTCGTAAGGTCGGATTTTTCTAACGACTCTGAGTTTTGTATTTATAAGTGAAATACTGTTTTTCTCTTTCCCTCATGTCTTTTGCATAGTTTAGAGCGATGTCCTTTTCGTATAGATACAGGAAGAGAGTTAATGTTATGATTTTGTAACCTGGGAGTTAAATGTCCCCGAATAATATTTAGTCCTGGCATCTGTTATATTTACTTGACTTAAGCTTCAGTTGCCCTTGGTTCCTATCACCCCAAAAGCAGGGTCGAACGAAGGGACTGGATCAACCTAGGACAAGATATAAGCTACCCTGGCATTGAAATGGGACAGGCCAAGCACCGTGAAACTTACAGTATGCTAAGAGTATGGTCGTGGACTAATTCTGTCATGACCCAAAGAAAAGTAACTGGACAAGAACCCTACTGGGGTTAGGAAGGACTAATCTGGTCTGAGAGCTGTAGTCTGGGATCTGTAGAGAAACGTCCCCAGGAGAACCACCATATAAATATAATATAATCTCTTACTGTGTCCATACAGAATGACTAGAAAGATTATTAAGTAAGTAAATCGGGGCCAGAGTGATAATATAGCGGGTAGGGCATTTGCCTTGCATGCGGCTGACCCGGATTCAATCCCTGGCATCCCATATGGTCCCCCAAGCACCGCCAGTAGTAACTCCTGAGAGCAGAGCCAGGAGTAACCCTTGAGCATAGCCGGGTGTGACCAAAAAAGCAAAAAAAAAAAAAAAAAAAGAAGTAAATCTAAGATGATTGTTTATGGATTTAGGAAAGGAGAAGTATGTCCTGAAATGAAATTATGCCTTGAGCAGATCTCCTAGCAGGAGGAGAGCTTCCCTGGAAGGAATGTTGATTGTGCTATCTGGCCTGGTTGTGGTTGCTACCCCCAGTGCTCAGAGTGAGAGACTGGGGTGGGGGAAGGCAGGAGATGGGAATGAGTGCAGTGTGAGGCAGGAACGGGGCGCTCAGTGAGACTGGAAGAGGCGTGTGGGGAGAATGGAGTGGACAGCAGCTGATGACCAACCAGGCTGGCGCCCTATTCCCTCCAGTCAGCTGTTGGCGGCAGCTCTAGATGGGGCGGGGAAGCAGCTCTTGGCCACTGAACACACGCGGTGAGAGAGTCCACTCCGCACACACATTTTTTGAATACACAACAGCCTTACACTTTCATTGAAGAAGTAAAATATCCTGTAGCCTCTTTGTTATTCTGTTGTGTTCTATGTCTTTCTGTCCCTTTCTTTTTGTAGGTTTTGGTAAGAATAGTCTGAGTCATAGGGGAAGAGTAATGCCTGGAAAGAGACGTCCTTATGGAGTTGTTACTGGCCTTGCAGCTAGGAAAGCAGCTGGAATTCGAAAGGGAATTAGTCCTATGAATCGACCACCTCTGAGTGACAAGGTAATTATGGCTTAATCCTGAGTCAGATACCCTCTTCCTTTATTTGTATTAGTATTTCTTTGAGTGAATTTGGGAGGCTTTTTTTTTTTAAGTTTTGGGGCCACACCCAGCGATGTTAAGGGCTTACACCCTTAGCACTAAGGGGTAAGTGCTAAGGGATCACTCCTGGCTGGATTTATGGGACCCTATGGGATGGTGAGATCAGACTGGGTCAGCCACTTACTTGCAAGGCATATACCCTGCATGCTCTACTATTGCTCTGGCCTCTAGCATTTTTATTGAAATACTTTTTTTTTTTTTTTGCTTTTTGGGTTACCCCTGGCTCTGCACCCAGGAATTACCCCCTGGGAGTGCTCAGGGGACCATATGGGATGCTGGAATCATACCTGGTTCGGCCGTGTGTAAGGCAAACGCCCTACCCGCTGTGCTACCACTCTGGGCCCTGAAATAAAATTTTTCTTGAATATTTTTATTGAAAAATATTTTTATTATAATGTACTTTATACCTTAAAATAGTAAATTTGTTAACAATAAAACTTATAACTCATGAAGAATAAAATTGCATATGCCTAAATACAAATTTTTATATTTTGTACAGATTTCTGACTTTACCTCTTATGTGTGTGTAGTTTTTTTTTTTTTCTTTTTGGGTCACACCTGGCGATGCACAGGGGTTACTCCTGGCTCATGCACTCAGGAGTTACTCCTGGCGGTGCTCAGGAGACCATATGGGATGCTGGGAATCAAACCCGGGTTGGCTGCGTGCAAGGCAAACGCCCTCCCCACTGAGCTATCGCTCCAGCCCCATGTGTGTAATTTTTAACTGGCTTTTTTGTTGTTGTTGGGTGTGTAAAGGATTGAACCCAGAACCTGAGACTGTGAGGCATATTTTGTCATTGAACCACAAACCCCAAACCCTTACTTTGGCAATTAAAACATGATTGTGTGTTTGTGTGTGTGTATTATATATCCATATTCATGTATTGTAGCAGCTATTTTCTAGTAATGGGTTGTTTGAATCTCTTGTCTGATTATTTAATATGCAAAGCCTGGGAAGCTACCTGTGACGTATTTGATATGCCAGACACAGTAACAAGTGTCACAATGGAGACGTTACTGGGCCTGCTTGAGCAAATCAGTGAACAATGGGAGGACAGTAACAGTGATTTAATATGCATTTTAGCAGCTATTTTCTAGTAATGGGTTGTTTGGATCTTTTTTTCTGATTATTTAATTATTAAAAATAAAAGTAAGTACCTTATTTCTATACTATAGAATTCTGTTATTAAAAAACATTCTTAGAAAAGAAATGTTCATACACAGGACAGCATGAGCACATCTCAAGCATGTTAATAAGGGGGGGCTGGAGTAAGTAGGACACTTGCCTTGCATGTGGCTGACCCGGATTTGATCTCTGTCATCCCATATGGGTCCCCAAACCTACCAGGTCTGATTCCTAACTACAGACAGGCGTAAACTGAGCATCTCTGGGTGTGCTCTCCAAAACAAAAAGATTAAACGTGCTAAATGAAATATTAAAGTCCATGTTCTGGGGCCAGAAGATGATATATTTGGTAGGACACATGCTCAGAATGTATCTATTCTAGTGTGATTCCCAGCATCACGTGGCCCCCCAAGTACTGCTGCGTACATGTAGTCCTTGGTGCAAACCCCAAGTATTCATTGGAGCTTCCAGCCTTGGGGCTACGTCCAGTGGTGGTATGGATGGGGGTGGTTGTTCATGATTGAACTATCCTTATTACCTCAGAGTGCTGTTATTGTCAGAATATAAAGTTGGGACTGGACCATTAGTCTGATTTGACAGCCTATATACTTAATCTTAGTTGGTTTGTTTTTTATTATTATTATTATTATTTTTTTTTTTTTGGTTTTTAAGTGGTATTAGGCATCAAATACAGGGATTTGCTTTTGCAGGGCACATGCTCTACTACTAAGCCATCTCCTGGCTACCCTTGGTATGCTTTTGTGGAGAATGGTGACCTCCCAAGAAATGCTCAGGGGGACCTTGGGGGTAATACTATCGACTATTCAGCCAACCCAAGAATATGGTTCTGATTGAAGTCTGCAGTACTGGGCACCACCATATTTATCCCAGTGGTGCTTACGGGTGTTCAGGACTGTACCTGTAGTGCTTGGTAAGTGCCAGGGCTACTTTCAGGGATCTTTAGGAGACCATGTGGTGCTGAGAGTCAAATCCAGGTCAGGCATATGCTGTCTTCCAACTCCTCTATATTCTTTATTCCATTTTTACATTTTTCCCAAATGTTCACAGACAATGAAGACATTTATAAATTTAGTTGACTTTATTTCAAATTATGAATATTTTCATTTAGAGTACAAGGGAACCCAGGTTAAGTATATGTTATAAATCATATGTTATGATCAGTATAATATTTTTAAGCAAGTACTTTGAATAGACTTCATGGAAAGTTTAGAAACCTGACTTAGGCTTTAGACTTTAGTTATGGGGCAAAGTTTTATTTGAGGGGAGAAAATCTTGATGTTTATTGAGAGAGAAAGATACTGAGAGATAGAGATTGGGATCCCAGGGCCTTCTAGAGGGAGAAAGAAAAACACACATGGATCCCAGGACCTTATACACGAGGTGCTTAAGGTTTGCCACTGAGGTGCATCCTCAACTCTCAATACTTGAATTTTCATGATTTCCTATTTTTCTATATAGTCATTTCTACTCAAGCTTTGCTATCACAATTTACTTTTTCACTCTTGTCTACACATTTATTTTGGAAGTTGACCTTGTTATTCTTGCATTTGATGACAGAATTCATGTTTACATAATAGACCCTAAATTACATCACTGGCTTCCTAATTCATTAGGCCAAGATTAGTTTTCCCCATTGCCGGTGTATCCCTGGAACACTTCTAACTGAACATAGCCAAAATAGAAAAAATACTTTTCAACCTCCTTTAATTGCGAGTATTGAAGTAGAATGTGATTGTTGCATTTTCAGTAACTTGGAATGGAAATTTTCAAGAGTCTTACCTGCATACGTTGTTCATTCACTATTCTGCCTCAGAAGAAATGCCTATTGTCGAGGGAATATAGCAAAAGGCATTCTGATTAACATGGTTTCTTGCTTTCTGAAAGAATGTAGAACGGTATTTTCCAGTGTTAAAAAGGAAGACAAACCTTCTGAGACAAAATGATGTGCAGAGGAAACCAGTTGCTGTTCTCAAGAGACCTAATCAGCTGAATAGAAAGTAAGTACTCAAATAAAGGACAGTTATACATTATCCTGTATAAAGATACCCTTGTACCAAGTATTCAGTGTACTGAATACTTTTGTTACATTATTTTGTACTTTGTAAGGATAAAGTGGGCAGAAAGAAAAACTAACAGTGATGGTTCTTTAGTTTCAAGTACCATTTCTTCATCTCTCTTTTTTTTTTCTTTGTGGCTCACACCCAGCGACGCACAGGGGTTACTCCTGGCTCATGCACTCAGGAATTACTCCTGGCGGTGCTCGGGGAATATGGGATGCTGGGAATCGAACTCGGGTCGGCCATGTGCAAGGCAAATGCTCTATCTGCTGTGCTATCACTCCAGCCCCCATTTCTTCATCTCTTACAGATGATAAACCAAAACATCTGCAATAAAGTCTTTATATCAATGGGATGGCCAGAACTACAGTTTTACTTATTTCTTTTTCTTTTGGTAATCATATGGAAAAGGGGAACTTCTCAAATAAAAGCTTGTCCGTTACATGATTTAGTAATGCCTACGTGTTAATTGGGGTAGTTAGGAAAATTCTGCTTTTGAGTCTCAAGATCGGAAGTAAAATTAGAATAGCTTGCTAAGCACTTAGAAGTGCTTAAATGTAACTGTTTAAACAAATAACTGCATAACTATAAGTATAGCATATATGAAAATTTGTTTTCTCATATTTTGCTAATTTACTATAGAAACTAGAAAGGAATTGGTGAGAGTCAAATTAGATATAATGCACTTCTCTGCATTGAAAAAAGTCAAAAAGTAAGCTCCTCATTGATTCATATTTATAAAGTTTCTAATTTATAAAATTTCTCTTTGAGGAAGAGAAAACTGGGGAAGATACTTTTTCAAAAAATTAAAAAAATTTTTTTTCAGCACATAGATATTTGTTCTAATCCTATAAAAAAATCTGTACAAGTTGGCCTTTTACAAAATTTAGAAAATAGGATTTAAAATGTTTTTAATTCTTCAGAACTATTATATATATAGTTTGTTGGTTATTAAGTAATACAGAAAATGAGGAATATTATAAGTCATCTCAGTAGTGTCAGGTAAATAAGGAAGTGATACAGTCTTTACATTTAATGTTCCTCAGATTTCTAGCTTATGAAGTTTAACTATTTTTCTCAAGATCCTTGACAGTTTAAGTGGGCTAGAAGATTCATGGTGTATGTGGTTTTATTGCAGAAATAACATTCCAGCCAATTTCACCAGGAGTGGAAATAAATTAAGTCATCAGAAGGACACTCGTCAGGCAACTTTTCTTTTCAGAAGAGGCCTGAAGGTATTAAAAAACCCCAAAACCTGGGAGGTATTATCTTTTTCCTCCAAAAGGATCCTGTTTACTTTTAGTAATAATCCTAATGTCAGAGGCCTGGCTTTAGATCCACAGTTTAGGGTAGGAGGTGGTTTTTGAATAAAGAGAACATAATAGGGGCCAGAGAGAGAGTACATCGGGTAAGGCATCTGCCTTGCACACAGCTGGCCCCGATTTGATTCCTGGTAATCCCGTGTGGTTCCCTGAGCATGGCCAGGGGTGATTCCTGAGTGCAGAGCCAAAGACAGGCCCCTGAGCACTGCCGCATGTCACCAAAAAACATTAGACCAGTTTTCTTTTGTTCATATACTTCATTTCTTTTGTAACCCTCCTACATAGTGTTATCTAATAATCTATTATGTTATTTAGAAATAAACCTGTATTAACCGCTTTTTCTACTACATGAATACCAACAAAGGAGGTGTTAGAATAGTTACACACCCTTACATCCCATATTGGGTTATAAAGTTACAAAGCATTATATATAGCTCATTGCATTAAAATTTTATGCATTCTATAAGAATCTCCTGGTTTGTTTTCTTTTCAGGTTCAGGCACAGTTGAACACAGAACAGCTGCTAAACGATGCAGTAGCGAAGAGAACGCGTCAGTAAGTTTCCATTTGTCTTTCAAGTTACCATTTCAAAACTCTTAGTATACTACCAACCAAGTTCTTTTGTGCCTCGGTCAAAAAGAAATTAAATGAAACCCAAAAGAAATTGAGCAAATAATTTTGTTTATTTTTTCTTCCAGAAGTCTATTATGTTTTCATGTCAGTGTTTTTACAAAGTTTTGCATGAAATACTTTGTTCTCTAAAAAGTTTATTTTAATTGCCATTTTATTTTATTTTAAATAGCTTTTAAAAATGTTCTGTACTGTTACTGTATACATGATTCTATTCAGGGTAAACAATAGAAAATTAAAAATCTAGAAAATTTGTAAGCCTTTAAAAAACAGTAATTTTATTTTCACTTTCTTTGGTACTCACATTGCCATTGTATTTTGGGGTGCGTATTAGGGGCACATCTTGCAGTAACTGGGTGCTGGGGATTGAACCTGAGTGAACCATGCAGGCACCTACCAGGTATGCTGGCACTCTGGCCCCCAAATGTGAATTTCAGCATTCTATAAATGTGATTGACACATTTGAGCATAAGCTTTTAAAAATAATGCTTACTTTTTGGAAAACAATCATAACATATTGATGTCCCATTTACAGTGCCAACAAAAGTAGGGCATGATGTTGAGCAGTTGTAGTTTAAGAAAGAAAACCATTTGAACTTGACACAGTATATTTTTGGTATAAAGGTCATAACTTGAAAGCATAGAAAGGAAATGATAACCAGGGTTTCTGCAGTAAACAACACTTAAATATTTGTAATGACATACGTGTTGTTATTTTGAATTCGAGAATTCAAAGCCTATAAAGAAAAGGGTTGGAGATACAGTGCAGGAAGTAAACACTTGCCTTGCATACAACTGACCCCAGTTTAATCCCTGCAATCCAGATATATTATCCCCTGAGCACAGAGTCAGGAAAAGTCCCCTGAGCACTATCAGATTTGTCCCCAAAACAGAACAAAATAATAATTTGGTAGCAATATGATATAAACATCAGATTTGATTAAAAGCAGAAGTCATAAAAAATTAAGTTCAAAATGAGAAAAGTTGTGGAAGGAATAGAAGTTACTGTCCTTTCATAGAGTGGGGAGAGGATCTAAAGAAGACACTCCAGAAAGATTTAAGTGTATTTAAAATTATAACAGACACAAAGAAAGTGGCAGTGACTATCAAAGTTTTAGTTATACATAGGGAAATTTAAGGATATTATAATGCGCCTAAATAGCCTTGGTAAGATACTGTTCCTGGAGGGAAGTAACCGAGCAGCCTTTCAGAACAGAATAAGGGACAGATGTGGCACAATGGTACATTCATTTTGTCAGATACTAGGTTCAGTCTCAGGTACTGGAAAAAAAAACACAGGGATGAAGTGTCTTTAGTTCCTACACTCATGATACTGATTATATTATGCTGGGGTCCTGCTGTTTTTCTTAAGAGTACATAAATTTCATTTTTGGTAATTACTTTTTTTTTTTTTAAACTAGATGGCGCACTTCCACCACAAATGGAGGAATTTTGACTGTATCTATTGACAATCCAGGAGCAGTGCAGTCCCCAATGTAAGTTTTTAACTTAAAAAGTTATAAATGTGTTTGCAATACAGATACTGAGAGGTTATGACGTTTGGTCCTTTATCTACTTTCAGCACACATCTCCCATCCCGAAAGAGTCTTCCAGCCATCGCTGTCTTAGTGATCCCTTATCCATTCCAGCTGCCTTCTCCCCCAGGTCATGAGACAGGCTTCTAATTATGGGACAGTATTCCTGGCCCCTGTGTCCACTGTCCTTGGGTGTCAGTCTCATACTATGTTATTTTATAGGACTGAGTGCAGTCATTCTATGAGTGCAGTCATTCTATGTCTGTCCCTCTTTTTCTGACTCATTTCACTTAGCTTGATACTCTCCATGTCCATCCACTTTTAAGCAAATTTCATGACTTCATCTTTGCTAATAGCTGCATAGTATAGCATAGTAGGGGGAAATTGTCTGTCATGGAGGCAGGGGGAAGGTTGGAAAGCAGGGAGTATACTGGGAACTGGGAACATTGGTGGTGGAGAATGTGCACTGGTGGAGGGATGGGTGTTTGATCATTGTATGATTGAGACTCAGACATGAAAGTTTGTTACTCTATCTCACAGTGATTCAATACAAACTAATAATAATAATAAAATTAAAAAATTTATAACCATGTTGAACAAAAGACAATTACAACCTCTGAGCATATAAAATAATAAAAAGTATCGGATGTTGATCAAAGTATGATGTCCAAGTGAGGATAAATTGAGGCAAGGATAAAACATGACACTTAAGGTTGAAAATGGAAACAATTTGAACTTAAAAAGAAAAGTTTCTTGATTCCAGGTTCTGGATTTCTTTAGTCACCACTTTTTTTTATAAGATCATAGTTTCATTTTTAAAAATCTGTGCATATATAACATTATGTACATAAACTTAAACATATAATAAAAGAAAAAATAATACTAATTTTCACTCCCTTTTACATCCTAGTGTTTTGAATATTGCTTTTCCTCCTGAGTGTGACAGGTGTTAATCTTTCTTTCACCTTTTTACCAATAACAGTTCTGCATGTGTTTCACAGACTGATGGTTATAATCTAGATGCAGTATACCAATATTAAAGGACGCTGCTGTGTAATATATTCTCTCTCTTTTTTTTCTTTTTGGCTTTTTGGGTCACATCTGGCAATGCTCACGGTTACTCCTGGCTCTGCACTCAGGAGTTACTCCTGGTGGTGCTCGGGGGACCATATGGGATGCCAGGGATCAAATCTGGGCTGGCTACTTGCAGAGCAAATGCCCTGCCCACTGTGCCGTCCTTCTGGCCCCTATATGGTATATTCTTGTATCTAGTTGACTTTTGCTATGTCATTGTATTATTACCTTATAAACTTTATATCATAAGCTTTGTAGATTGAAATGAAAAGAACCTAGACTTTTCCATGACTATAAGAAAAACTAAGATGTCAGAGTGTGCATTGTTTTAGTAGCTAGTGAGGACTCAAAGCACGGTTCTCTATATTGCTAAGTTTGTAGTTCTACTTAAAGAAGTATTTTGTACTTAAGTCTTCAGATTAGTCAATAAAGCAACAGTTACCTTTCTTTGAGAACATAGAATAGAAATGCCTAGAAGTCAGCTGTATATATGTACTAAGTGAATTTTTGTTTTCGATTGCTAAGCTGGTCTGATTTCACTTTAATTTTTTTTTTTTCAAATAGAACACAGAAACCACGATTAACACGTTCTGCTGTACCCTCATTCTTGACCAAACGGGAGCAGTCTGATGTAAAGAAAGTCCCTAAAGGTGTCCCTCTACAATTTGACATAAATAGTGTTGGAAAGCAGGTAGATTCCTCCCCTCACCTTTGAATCTTTGCACCATTCACTGTGAATATCTTAATTGACAAATTGTTACTCCTGGCGGTGCTCAAGGGACCATATTGGATGCTGGGAATCGAACCTGGGTCGGCCGTGTGCAAGGCAAATGCCCTATCCACTGTGCTATCTCTCCAGCCCCCAATATGTAATCTTTTTGAACTGATAATTTTTCTTAGTATAGTTTTTTCCACAGTTCATTTATATTGTTTGTCTTTCATTTATTGCTAAGTAATGTTTGGTTATATACCACATATCTCTTCATCAATTGGTAATAGACTTTGTAGTGTCATTCTTTAACATATTGTGACTGATACGCCTCTTCATATTTATGTACAAGTTTGTGTGAATTATGGTTCTATTTTTAACCCTTTTGGGGGGTTTTTTTTCTTACTGGTAGTATGCAGGGACGACTCATGCGTCGTTAATTTGGGAGTGCTTCCAAGGTGTTTGGGATATTGGCAGCTACTGAACCTGGGCCCTCTGCATGGAAAGCATGTTACTGACTTTTTGAGTTAGCTCCCAACCTCCCAGATCGAGCCATTCTTACAGGATGAACCTTATTAAGTCCACCTTTTTTTTTTCTCTTTTTGCAATGTAGGGGTTGTGCCCAGAACTTCTCACATGCAAGGCGGGTGCTTTACCTACCTACCCCTGAGCCACATCCCAGGCCCTTACGTAACTTTTTTTCAAAGAGGTGGCTGCAACATTCCAACTAGTATGTATGAGAATTCTAAATATCTCCTCGTCCTCAGCAACGCTTGTTACTACCTGTCGTTTGGATCATAGCTGTAAGTTGGTATGGTGCTCGGGTTTGCTCCGGTGCTCAGGATTTAACCTGGATCTTGCAGAGCAGGTGCACCAGCCCTTTGAGCTATCCTCCTGGTGCAACATTGCATTTTTTACTGTATTCGTATGAACATTGCACCTGTGATTTTGCTAAATAAATTTGCTATTTAAATCATTCTATAGATTCTTCAAGATCTTTCTCTGTAAACAGCAATTGGAAAGCTTTCTTTCCAATCTTTAATCCTTTCCTTTACTTCATTATAATGGCCTAGGACCTTCAGTACAATGTTGAATCAAGTGCCGAGAACAATTATGCTTAAACCATTCCATAAGCTTGGGAACGTATATTAGCATTAGGTTCTTACTAGATTATCTTTTTCAGAATGGGGAGTTCCCATCTGTCCTTATTTGCTGAGAACTTTATCATATTTGGGTGTTGGATTTTGTCAAGTACTTCTTTGATATATATTAATGTCAGTCTATGGAACTAATATCCTTATTGGACAGAAATTTTTTTTTTATTGGTGTTTGTTGCTTGACTGTTGCTACTTTAAGAGATGACATAAGTATCCAGGAAATCTTAACTGTTACTACTATTAACTACCAAAGCAAATAAAACATAATCACATGGTTGGCTTTTGCTTTTGTTTTCTCTAGACAGGAATGACGTTGAATGAGCGGTTTGGGATCCTGAAGGAGCAGAGAGCGACTCTCTCATTCAGCAAAGGAGGAAGCCGCTTTGTGACCGTGGGATAGGTCTCATGCAGAGGAACTTCGGAGTGATGACTTAGTTTTAAAAGTTGAATTGCTTGAAGAATTTATCTCAAATTCAAGAAACTATTTGACAAAATTCACAAGGCTAAATAACTCTTATTTTTATTTTTGAATTTTTCAACATGTATAAATAATGCCCTGAAAGAATAACAGGGAATATGCTTATCTGTTCTGAAAGATTTCTTGGTGGCCCAGACAGAAATATTCTTTCTGTGACTTCTTTCTTCTACATGCAGCAGAAATAAGACAGAAAGAACGTGATTATTTTTATGATGGTGATATTTAGGATCCCATTGCCTTTGCCCATTTTTTACACTGTACCATGGTAAATCTTAGTCTTCAAACTATGAGTAGGTCCCTTTGATGCTATCACTTACCCTTTAATAGTGTTGACGTAATAAGTGCAGTTGACTTCTCTTCATTAGAGATAAAAAAAATCTACTCGGATTACAGTTTTGGGTTAAGACTTAGTGGGAATATCTAGAACTTGGTTCTTTTCAGATAATGTTAGATTATCCCTCCAGAGTTGTATAAATCTTTAGTACTGAATTTTTTGACCAGAAATTTGGCTCTCGGCATTAGTCTCATTCTAAAATACTGGGGTTTGAAGACTATAACTGCATGATTATAAAGTTACTTGTTATCTACGTTTGGAGAAGGACCTCCAAGTATAAAAATCTGATGGTGCATTTAATAAAAAAAAGCTTGAAAGAAAGTTGCAGATTGAAAATGGTAAAACTGAGTTCAGTCTTTAAAAATAAAAAAATCAGGTCATAGATACACTGTTTGGATTTACTATAGTCTTCAGTATAGTGTATACAAAGAATTCTCCAAATGATATTTAGAAGTCTTATTTAAATAAATTAGATATTTTGATAGTTAATAGCTGTAAAGTCCTAGACAACTTGTTTAAAAAAGTCAAATTTTTTAAGCTTTTAAGCTTGCTAAATTGAACAGTATACAACTCCAGAAACAAAAACTTGTATATGTTAGGAAGGAAAAAAAATGGAAAATTGTAAGAGTTATATTATAGCCTTGTTTTATATCTTATTCTGATTTCTTTTATAAAGTTCAGTCATTTATGATGAGAAAAATGGGTAGGAGGAGTTAGTGTGTTGTGCCAAGCTAGAGCGGTAAACATTTTCAGATGGTTGTATACTCTTATGGTATAATGCCAAAATGCAGCAAAATATTACGGCAATAAGTTAAAAGTTCAGTCATTTAAAGCTTGACATTTTGGTTTTCTGGAATATTAGAATATCTGAGTTAGGTGTGTTTTTCTAGAGTGTATTATTAATGTTGATTTCCTTGTAAGGAAAACAAGCTTAACATTATCACTCCGGCCTGCTTTGCAGTTGTGTACTCGACCTCATTGTTGTCTCACACTCTTTGGATCACTTGGTTTATGCTAGCAATCAGTGACAGTTTCATGCTTATACCAAAGAGGTAAATCTGATCTTTAGTATCCAAATTTTGCCAGTAAGTCTGGTGATAAAGAATTACTGGAAACCAGTAAAAAAATTTTGAAAATAAAATTTACTTTGTCTCCATAAGCTAAGGACTCATTGCAGAATATTTTTGCAAGTAGAAATGCCTAGATTTGATCTATCAGTTACAATCTTTAGACTGGTTTTGAATTACAGGTAGCTTATTTTAAAGCAAAGGGGAAACAACTGACTGTGAGCTTGCTGTCTTGTGAAAATAAGGTATGAAGATGTGTTTCACTTTCATGTTATTTTAAATATTATACAGAGCTGCTATTAAATGCCATTTTTTGGGAAAACCTTAAAAAAAAGTTGCCCTAAATATCAGCATTAAGTGCATCAAACAACAAAGTATCTTTGGTATATTAAACTTTTGCTCTTTATGCATCTGTCATTTTATTTTTAAACAAAAATTTTCCCCTTGTACATCTTACTTAAAATTCTTGATTACTCATATGTTGCATATAAAGAAAAGAATATGCTTTGTTGAAATTTTTTTTTTCGTGGAATGTGGCTGTAGTCATCGTTTTTCATTTAAAAGCTTTTTTTTTTAACAATACAACTTAAAATTTCTCTTGCATCAAAGTGTATGCAAAACATTGATGCAGTGCATCACACACAAAAATTGTATTTCATGAGGAAAGGTGCTTTTATAGTGTAATTTTTGGTGATTTTTTTTTGGTAAGAGTTAATTTAGATCTATTCTGAACTATTCATTTTTGACAAAATGTTACAGGTCTCCTGTTTTATTATTAGCTATAAAGATTGTTGTAATTTTTAGAGTGCTCTGCCTCGAAGAATTTTTTGTGATTATATTTTTAATTTTTAGGTTTACAAAGTACCACATAAATTGATAAATCAGTGTCGGTTTACATCGACACCCTTTGACCATTTTTTTCTTACTTGAATAGGAAATAGCCAGGAGTTAAAAATTGAGAATCAGATTTTCTTGGACTGCAGATGAGCTTTTAGAAGTCATTCAGTTTAGTTCCTCTTTATTTCAGACTCGTTTTTTGACCTTAGACCTTTTTTTATCAGTTCATGTTAAACTCATTAATTGAAAATCCATGTATCATAGAGGAGTGGTAAGAGCTCATGTTCCAGCAGTGCTTAAAAGACTATTACTTTGGCATCCAAGTCATATTAGACCCATACGAAGAAACCATTATTCTAATCAAGCACGTGTTGTTTTTTTTTTTCCCCAAAAGCCTTCAGTTTCACCAATGACAAGGAAACCATAAAATACAAGTGTAAGAAACCTGCAGATTTCGTTGCCAAATTTTTTTGTTGTTGTTAAATATAGAAGTATTTTGCTGTCCGTAGCTCTATAATTTGTACTTTATGCAGTACTGGTAATTTTTTGTTCTGATTTATATTTACTGTAAAGAAGGTAAGAGGAAGAAACAGCTGACTATGCACTACAGAAACAAACACTACCGATTTCTTCACTTTTTGTTTTGGTGTCACACCAGATGTTCAGGAATTACTCCTGGCCAAGCTCTGGGGGACTATATGTGGTGGCCAGAATTGAACCCGGGGTGACTGTGCAAGGCAACGCCCTGCCCAATGTACTATCATTCTTACCCCAGATTTCTTCACTACTACTTAGCATGCCTTGAAACTTGGTTGTTGAACCTGGGATCGTAGCTCAATGGTAGAGCATTTGTGAGGGTTTTGATATAGTCTGATAGTACAAAAAGACAAAAGCATTATTATTTTTGCCACTGAAAAATAATCAAGTGTGTGATTCAAGCTTCCCTTAAAAGAGGATTCTTTTTTCATAGATCAATTTGAAGTTTTTGTTTTTAATTATACTATTTATTCTGAACATTTACAATAAAAGTTTTGAACTACTATGGGCCATAGTAGTAGTATGGGTTTAAAGATTTGCTTACAAATGATTGCCTTCTAATGTGTCTTTTCCTTGTCATCATAGTTTACTGTCTGAAATTTGTTCAGTGAAAAGTTTGGTAAAACAAGTGGTGATGCCGTTTGGGAGTGAAACTGAAATTTTGAGTTTATTTAAATGAAGTTTACCAGTGTTTAAAGATGAATTGGAAACATTCTCTAGTGTGTATGTGTTTGATTTCAACTTCCATTTCTATCATCCTCTAATGAAATTCAAGTTTCTATAATTTCATACTTAAAAAAGTTAATTAGTCCTTTTCTTTAAAAAGGAGTCAGAAATAGAAGGACTAACAATTGAATATTTTCAATTTGCAAGTTTCTGTGCATGGTTTTTGAAGAAAAGGGGTTGATGAAGATTTTAGTATTAAAGCTTGGAATTTATAAGAGGCAATCTTAAAAGTAGTGGTAATAATACATTCCTAGTGAGGAGGGTAGAGAAAAGTGTTTTCTGCACGATGTAGTAAGATGTAGAGCTTGGAGAGTGTTGTTGAGATACGGGTGAAACTTTTGCTTCTGGCATTAAGTGGGTTAATTTTAGCCTGTAAAGTAAACAGGATGGAGTAGGTAAGTTTTTAACATAGAATATCTCCCATTTCCTATTTTTCCTTTATCATTTGCTTCCTAGTATAGTTCTTAACATTGAATACCTTTGCCTATTTTTTCATCATTTTGTCACAGCATTAAGTGGGAATAAGTTACAGATTCCTATAATTCTGCTTCTGGCCATTTACTGCCCTTTTTTTTATTGCTTCTGGAAAGTTGTTTTTGTTGTTGTTGTTGTTTTTAATTTGCTTTTTAGTGTCACACACGGGCTGGAGTGATAGCACAGTGGTGGGGCATTTGCCTTGCGCACTGCCAGCCCGGCTGAGCCAGGTTTGATTCCTCTGCCCCTCTTGGAGAGCCCAGCAAGCTACTGAGAGTATCTCGCCCGCACGGCAGAGCCTGGCAAGCTCCCCGTGATGTATTCGATATGCCAAATACAGTAACAACAAGTCTCACAATGGAGACGTTACGGGGCCCGCTGGAGCAAATCGATGAGCAATGGGAGGACAGTGTGACAGTGTGGGTCACACCCATCGATGCTCAGGCTGACTCCTGGCTCTGCACTCAGGGATCACTCCTGGTGATGCTTGGAGGATGATTGGGATGCTGGGGCTCGAACCCGGGTCGGCCACATGCAAGGCTAATGCCCTCCACACTGTACTTTCCCTCTAGTCTGTTGACACTTCTTTTATTCATCTTTTTTTTTAAATGAGCACTAAAATCTCTTCAGTTTTTATTTAGCTCATTCTAAAGGTGATAGTTGGGGCTGGAGCAGGTAGTACAACAGGCAGTGTGCTTGCCTTGCACACAGCCAATTCGATCCTTGGCACTCTTGGTCCCCTGAACATTCCAGGAGTGATCCAGATCCAGGATTTAGCCTGGAGCACCAGTGGGTGTGGCACAAAACAAAAAGGCAGTAGTTGGGCAGAGCGATAGTACAGTGGGTAGGGTGTTGGCCTTCACTTTGCCAATACTGGTTCAATCCTTGGCATCCCAGATGGTTCCCCAAGCACTTCAAAAGTTATTCCTGAGTGCAGAGCCAGGGGTAACCCCTGAAGATCACCAGGTGTGACCCAAAAGGCCAAAAAAAAAAAAAACAAACCCAAAAAACAACCTCAAAACTCAAAAAGCTAATGGTCACATTATGGAAAAAATGAAATAGGATGAGGAATCACTCAGCCTTTTTGCAGGTGAACTATCAAGCCCTTTAAAGTTTCAAAATTCCTGTTCTCAAAGTGTTTACGTAGCTTTGTTCTCATTTAATGCTGTGATATCTACATTTCCCTCCATGCATTTCTTTTGATCTTCAAATATCTATAGGTTATGTGTCCTGTTTTCAAAAACTCTTACAGCCTTTCATCCTGTGTTAGTAGATAACTTCTGTTAATTTATAACCTATCTTACAGTGTTTCCATCTTTGTTATTCTTCTATTATATTTAGCCCTGGGATTTAGGAGATAATAGCATATAATTTAAAATCTAGTTGAATAAGTAACAGTTTTACTTGCTGGTCAGAAGTTGAGAGACTTGGATTGGGTTGGTATGTTGCAATTATAATGAGATGCACACAAGTAGAATGAGGCCATACTATGCTGAAATTGTCAGAATATCTTAAAAGGTAAAAGGTTCTAGGTAACCAAATGTAGATGACATGAGTAGTGCATATAAAGTGCATGATAGCAAACAAAGTTCAATAGAATTGTAACATTCAGTGGAGACAAACAGGGCTTGACACACATGCTCTGCAATGCGAAGCCCCAGATTCACTCTTTGGCTATCGACCCCTTGATTACTGCCATGGGGGCCACTTGGTGACCCCAAGTACGAAGGGTCTGAGTATGTTGGGTTAAGTATCACTGGAGTGCCCTCAGGCCTTCTGAATATTTCTTGGGAGCCCCCCATCCCCCCAAAAGATAGTAGTCTGCTTTTATTGTAGTTTATTGTCAATCTTAAGGATTAAATGGGGTTCTGTTCTTAATCTGGAATCTAAGAATGAAGGCCAGAGAAATAATAAAGGCTGTTAAGTGAGGCTGTTACCTTGAACAGTCGATTCGGGCTCCGTCCTTGGTACTGTGTATGGAACCTGGTGAACTGCTAGGAGTGAGGCTTGAGCATAGCCTGACACCAGTACAATTTTAGGAGTAACACAAAAAAACCAAACATCAGATATACGTTACCACCCAGGATGATATCACTTGCCATTAGGGTGATCCTGCTTATAATTATGAAGCGTGCTGATAAGCTTAGAATGTATTAGAAGTTGGTAGAACACTGCTGAGCTGCTGTTACTAATAAGCTTTGATACCAAGACAAATTTACATTTTTGCATTTAGAATTTGGGGGAAGTGCTAATCAAGTTTCTGAAAATCGGGGCTTGAATGATGGGTAGGGTCTCCAGTTTTAAGTGTTTGGGCCACATTCAGTGTCATGGGGGGGCGGGGGTGCTGGGACTGCTGTCTGCTGGGACCAAGAGGTGTCTCCCAGGTGCCATATCAAACTCCAGTTGGCTGGTGCAAGGCAAGCACCTTATTTGCTTTTTTTGCTATGAACTTTGTGACTCGTTATTAATGTATTCTACATGTACTATTCTACATCCTTCTGAGTGTGTACATGCTTAATCTCCTTACAATCAAATACTTATGCTTATACTGTAGCCTATCCCATTCCATAAATCCAGATTTGTCAAAACCTCATGATATGGTAGAACCCTTTCCTCCAAATTCTGCTAATCCCCACCACCCTATATTGGCCGTTTATCTTATTCTCTAAGTGATACTTGTTAGTACTCAGGATAGAGTGTGATGCCTTGAAAACAGGTGCCTGCTTTGCATACACCTGTTGGATCAAATCCCCAGTATTCCAGTATCCCACATGTAGTCAGCATATTTGCAATTCTGTGTTTAAGCCTATACTGCTGATAATCCCCAACTCTGCAATCTGAAACATCTCAAGTGATTTTTTAATTGTCTGACAGCTGCTGTGTGTGTGTGTGTGTGTGTACCACAAACAGGTGAGTGCTGCAATTGAAAGAAATTGAGCACCACAGCCAGGAAGTGGTGTAGACTTATTAAGGAAGACTTCCTAAGCAGGTGTATGAGCGCTGTGGTGACCCTACCAAGCACCACTGCCACAGTGTCTTCGGAGTGTGACCCCTGAACAACACTTTTAAGTATTGCTGCTAAAGAGGGTTTAAACGCATTCAGAAGCACAGAATGTGCGAGCATCGCAGCCTGATACTTGACCCTTGGCAGCACCGCAGCCAGGAGTGTGTGTTTGTGTGTGTAATCCCTAGTCATTGGAACGGTAATAAAGGGAAGGAAATAATTTTAAACTCAGATATATTTGGGGCTGGAACGATGGCACAGGGGGTAGGACGTTTGCCTTGCAAGCAGTCCACCCGGGTTTGATTTTTCTGCCCCTCTTGGAGACCCCGGCATGCTACCAAGAGGATTCCACCCACACAGCAAAGCCTGGCAAGTTACCCATGACGTATTTGATATGCTAAAAACAGTAACAACAGGTCTCACAGTGGAGATGCTACTGGTACCAGCTGGAGCAAATCGATGAACAATGGAAGGACAATGCTACTATGCTACAGTGCTAAATATATTTAGATTACATAATTAGGTTATGATTCCTTGCAGGGGAAAGTATACAAATAAGAAAATTTTGAATACGTAAAAGGAAAATGCTTAAGACAGGTTGCCTTTGAGATCTAGTTGGCTTAAATGACGTCATGGTTCTCACTTTATCAGTACTTGAGTTTCGTTTTTTAGCTCTGGTTCTTTAGTTTCTTGCTCGACCTGTCTTTCTCTCTTTCCTTATTTTCTTTTTTGGGTCACACCCGGCGATGCACAGGGGTTATTCCTGGCTCATGCACTCAGGAATTACTCCTGGTGGTGCTCGGGGGACCCTATGGGATGCTGGGGTTCAAACTCGGGTCAGCCGTGTGCAAGGCTAAGGCCCTCCCTGCTGTACTGAAAAATGGTCGCATCACTCCCGCCCTAATTTCTATATTAAAGTACAGGCAGATTATTTTCCACAAATTTTATTTCCTATCAAAGGTTTGGGCTTCGATACCATCCTTTTGTTCGACCTCGGAAGCTGAAGGTGTTGGGGCAGAGCCTTCCTGCGCCTCACGGCGTCTATCCCGCGGAGCGCGGAGTCGGGGGCGCCGGGTTTCGGCGGACGCGGACAAGCTCCCCCGAGAGACGCTCCTGTTTCCTAGCGGCACTTCGGAGATGCGGCCGGGAACCCTGGGTGGAGCCGCGCGGGATCCGAGTCCCTTCCATGCCTGTGACCCCGGCCGTGGGCGGAGGCGGCGCGGGCTGCGCGGCGCCGCGCACTGTCCGGTTTGGCCAGCCCTGGCCCCGCCCCGAGCCCTGGGGGCCCGTCCGTCGGCCCCGTGCCGGCTTGGCCCCGCCTTGGACTCTGGCCGCCCCGGGTTCTGGCCCCGCCCTGAGCTCTGAGCTCTGGCGGCCCATCCCTCGATACTGTGCCGGCCAGGCCCCGCCCCGGGCTCTGGCTCCGCCCCGCCCCGCCCCGCCCCGCGGCTCTGCGCGCATGCGCGCTGCAGCGAGCGGCGCGGCAGGGAAATGGCGGCGGCCGCGGGCGGCGGGGTCCCGGGCCCGTCGGAAGGGACCCTCTCCGGCGCTGGCTGCGGCCCGGCCTCCGGCGCGGCTCCGGGCCCGGCCTCTTGGAGCCGAGCCCTCGACCGGGCGCTGGAGGAGGCGGCGCTCAGCGGGGTGCTGAGCCTGAGCGGCCGGAAACTGAGGGAGTTTCCCCGGGGAGCGGCCAGCCACGACCTGACGGACACCACCCGGGCCGGTGAGCGGCGCTCAGGACGGCGGGGCGCTCGGGGCGGGCCGGGGCGCGGGGGTCGTTCCGGCCTGGGTCCGCGCTCGGGGTCGCCGCGAGTCCGGCGCGGGCCCGGCGGTCCCTGCCTCGGCGGGCGCGGCGGGCGGGCGTGGCCCCTGGCGGGACCCCGTCGCCCGCTGGCCGGGCGAGCCCGGCCGATTTTGCTGGGGTCTGGGGCGGTGGGCAGGAGCCTCGGCGTACCTGGGCCGCGGCGTGGTCGGGCGCCGGCCCCTGCGCTCTCTCCGGAGCGAGTCTCCCGGGGGCCAGAGGGCTTCTCCCGGGGTCCCCGCGGGACCCCGAAGTCTTCTTCCGCGTCTTCCCGGGAGCCCGAAGGCTTCTCCCGGGGTCTTCCCAGGGCCCAGAGGGTCTCCCGGAGCGAGTCTCCACAGGGGCAGGAGGCTTGAGACCCCTCTGGCCCACCTCGCCAGGCGCGCTGCAGAATCAGACGGAGCCACCGTCAGGCTGGCACCGCTCTACCCTCCCGCCCCGAGAAATGTCCAGGGGAGCAAAAGAAGGAGACTTGATCTGCAGTGGCGGTCTCGTTTAGAGACCCGGCAAACATTTTGTTTCATTCTTATTTTTGAACGCAGGAAAGAACACAGGAATTAAGTATACCTTGTTTTCTCAGTTGCACGGAACAATGGTGACGGAGCCGTTCGGCATAATGTGTTTGCTATTGTGTTTAGAATGCAGCTTCCTCAGGGAGGAGATTAAAAGCTGAGTCTATTCATTCTATGCACGAACACAAAGGAGGGAAAAATCCCTTAGACACGTTTCTATAGTATGATGTAGTTATTTTCATGTGGTGTTTTGCAGCCAAAGGTTTCTAGTGCTTTGTGTCCTATTCATATAACATCTTTCCCATGCTTGTACACTTGTTAAAGTTAAGACATGTTACATAATGGGCCAGTCGTTTTAGAAAAATAAATTGTTCGACTCTTGTTCTTGCATGAAATGTGAAAAATTAAATGCTAACAATCTCTATCTTTTTGGGAAACAGTTGTATGTAGTTGGACATAGTTTGTTATTTTAGCGAGTGATATCTATGCTTTCTAGCAAAAGGAACTGTGACCCAGCACCAGCCTGTTGCTTGTGTTCTGATAGATGATCTCTAAGATCTTTGTACTCCAAATTTTCTTATTCTGTTTAAGAGTGTAGTGCAATTTAAACAGGTGTGAGTCATTTCAGCATTACTACATTATTAAGCCTGAAGCTAAAGACAAGCGGATTATAGGAGTTTATCTAACTTGTTATCTTACTTGCTTTTGAATAATTCTAGGACCAGCATGTTTTGCCTGTACAGTATTCTTATTGAAGCTGGAGACATAGTGTAGTGGGGACGGCATTTCCTTCTCAGAGGGTGACCTTGGGTTTGATCCCCATCATTGCATAGAGACCCCTGAGCCAGGAGTGAGGCCTGAACCAAGAGTCCTGAGCACCTGACCTCAAAAAAGAAAAATCAGACAACAAAGCAAGCTAGCAGACAAAAAGAAATATTTTATCAACTAAAACCAAGGGGCATTTAAAAGAATAAGGTAAAAAGGTAAAGGTAAAGGCCCTCCCGTTGATCGTCGATTTGCTCGAGCGGGCCCAGTAACATCTCCATTGGAGACTTTGTTGTTACTGTGTCTGGCATATCGAATACTCTCGGTAGCTTGCCGGGCTCTCCGAGAGGGGCGGAGGAATCGAACTCGGGTCGGCCATGTTGGCCGCGTGTAAGGCGAACGCCCTACCCGCTGTGCTATCGCTCCAGCCCATTTAAAAGAATAAATTGTATCATTGGCTTTTATTCTTACTGTGCTCTGAATTTTTAATTTAGTATTGTCTGCATTTATTTGGTTATTTCTATAGAAAACATTTTGATGGGTGAATTTTTGTTTGAATCAAAGGTATAAAAAAGCTTTAGACTACATTTGTTTTTAAAATGTAGAAATAATCTATTAAATACAAAAAATTTGCTTTCACGGACTTAAGTATACAAAAATTTTTAAAAAGTTGTGCTTTGGTAGTACATAAAAACATAAAAATTTTCAGCAGGAAAGTTGAACATTTAACCTTTATTAAATGTTCATTCAGTGTTTGCTATTGTGTTGTTTTACAATAAATTGTCTTGTTAGATGCTCATAACCTATGGATTGAGTTTCATTATTCCCACTTGGCTTATCATCTGGTAGAAAGTCATGTATTTAGTAATAAAGATAGCATTTCCTGATCCTGAACTATCCACTTTCACTCTGTTTTCTCCGGTACCACATAGCCTCTCTGTACAGCTAGATACTACTATTCCTTTTTTTTTACAGATAATGATACAGATCTATAATTTGCTCAGATCTGTAGCTAAAAAGCAGGGAAGACAGTGTTGGTCAGGATTGAACCAGTGTGAGAACACTTAAAAATCTAGTCTCCCTTCTATACTAGTTTCTTTGATGAGTTCAAACTTGACTTAGTTTAGGGCTCTCATTAGACTATCAAATTATGCAAACTTTTAAATTCTTTTTTCTGCTAACTTTGAGTAGAATTTTTTCTTGGGGGGGGGGGGCGGTCACACCTGGCGATGCACAGGGGTTACTGGCTCATGCACTCAGGAATTACTCCTGGCAGTGCTCAGGGATGCTGGGAATCGAACATGGTTGGCAGCATGCAAAGCAAATGTCCTACCCGCTGTGCTATCGCACCAGCCCAGTAGAGTTTTTTTTAACAGAATTAACGATTTGACTAATGCAGTAAGACTTCTTGGTAATATTATGGTTAAGTTTATTTGGTCTGAAAAATGGTTGCATTAAGGAATATAAGAGCTACCATTTGAATATTGAATACTAGGTTGATGATAAGGGTTAGTGACAGGGACAGTGGTAATTATTCAGCAAACTGGTACTGAGAAATTTTGACAGGTGTAGCAGATAGGACCAAAACTCCCTACCCTCTTGGATTTTAAGAAGTTTAGCCATAATAAAGAAATAGACATAAGGGAGGGGAATTGTTTTGGTCTTGTTATTATTTGTTTAGTTAATATTTTTAGGCCACACTTGGATGTGCCTCAGGCCTTACTCCTGCCTTTGTGCTCAGAAATTACTCCTGGCAGGCCTATATGCAAGGCAAGTGCCTTATCCCTAGTATCTCTCTGACCCCACGGGTCCATTTGATAGTGTGATGGCACTAACATTTAGATGGTGGATATGGTAAACTGTTTGCAGTTCAAGGCATGTAAAACTCTTCTCCTGAAGTTGTATAATACTCTGAGCCAGTGGCAATGAAGTAAAAAAAGTATTTTTGGTTTTTAGATAAAATGCTAGTAGCAAAGCTTCTAGGTGCTAGATAATATGGATAGCATTTGGATATGGATAGGTAGGCCGCTTGCCTTGCACGCAGCCGGCCTGGGTTTGATTCCTCCGCCCCTCTCAGAGAGCCCAGTGTGGCAAAGCCTGGCATGCTCCCAGTGACATATTTGATATGCCAAAAACAGTAACAAGTCTCACAATTTGTTGTGAGTTGTTACTGGTGCCCGCTTGAGCAAATCGATGAACAATGGGAGGATAGTGCTACAGTGCTAAGGATTAAAAAGACAAGTAAACCGGTAGCCTTGGATTGTGGCTCTGTGTCAAGCCTGGCATGTGGCCACACACCCTCTCCCCGGTGCTTGGGACCTTTGCTGCCCCACAACCAGTGTGTGGCCTGCCCTCTCCCCTCAACTCAGGCACCACAATCGAGTTTGTGACATTTAAACAACAAAGGGTAGGGAAAAGATAAAGGAAAATTAATTTTTAAATATCTAGGAATCCAGGGGCTGGAGCAATAGCACAGCGGGTAGGGTGTCTGCCTTGCACGCGGCCGACCTGGGTTCGATTCCCAGCATCCCATATGGTCCCCTGAGCACTGCCAGGAGTGATTTCCTGAGTGCAGAGCCAGGAGTAACCCCTGTGCATCGCCGGGTGTGACCCAAAAAGCAAAAAAAAAAAACAAAACTAGGAATCCAGTTGGGAGGCTATGGTAGTAATCCAAAAGTACAAAAGAATCTAAGGCAGAGTTCATACTGGAAAATTAAAATGTACAAATGATGAGTGAAACTTTTTTAAAGGACCTTGCATCAAAGACAGCAAGCTCTTAAACCTGAAGGACTAGACAGGTGGTAATGCGACAGATAATAATAGTAGCTAACATTTATTGCATTGTTGGCATTTCCAGGTATATACTAAGCTGTGTATATATGTATAGATATATACACATGTGTATGCTTATATATATATATACACATGTATATATCAACATATGTAACATATGGGCTGGAGCGATAGCACAGCAGTAGGGCATTTGCCTTGCACGCAGCCAACATGGCCGACCCGAGTTCAATTCCTCTGCCGCTCTCTGAGAGCCCGGCAAGCTACCGAGAGTATCTCGCCCGCACGGCAGAGCCTGGCAAGCTACCTGTGAAGTATTAGAGATGCCAAACACAGTGACAACAAAGTCTCCAATGGAGACGTTACTGGGCCTGCTCGAGCAAATCGATGAACAACAGGAGGACAGTGATATATATATATATATATATATATATATATACACACACACTACAGCTTGAGTTGTAAGTAGTGTTTTTGACCCCAGTTTTTTGCACATGAAGAAAAAAATGAAGATTCAAGATTAATAACAGTCACACAGCTAAAAAATGACAGATTCAGAATTGCCTGTTCTTGAAACTTGTATTTTGGGTCACTAAACCATACTGATAAAGAAGTTTATTACAGTTTTTTTTTTTTTGTCTGTGTGTGTTTCTTATGTGTTCTGGTTTCTGTTTTTGTGCAAGGCAAGTACCTGGACCCCTGCACAATCACTCTGGCCCATCTTTGTTTATTTATTTGGTTTATGGCCACTTCTGTGTGGGGGTTACTTCTGTAGTAGAGGGGGACCATGCTACTCTGGCAGTTGAACCTGGGTGCTCATGCCTCTTATATTATTGTGGGACTAGGGGGAGGTTT